TCTCTCTCTCTCTCTCTCTCTCTCTCTCTCTCTCTCTCTCTCTCTCTCTCTCTCTCTCTCTCTCTCTCTCTCTCTCTCTCTCTCTCTCTCACCTGTGGAAGTTGACGCATGTGGTGTTCCGGGGAAACTTCTTCTCAGCATCATCGCTCAACTGACGGTTGAACACAAGGTACGCAAATTTCTTCCCGGGCCTTCGGAGAACATACTCCACCAGCGTTGTTGTTTTCCCAGTACCAGCAAATGCTGTCACAAGCATGATCTCATTAGGTTTAAGATCTGTGTCAATGATATCATGCTGCTCAGCTGTCAGCCTGCGCTGACCAGTAGTATTAGCTGCAGCCTGCTCTTTAACCTCCGAATACAGCATCGTAGTCTCTGCAAAACCATATCCATATCCACTTCAGCCTCATATTATCCAGAACAATATCCGTTCCACTTCAGTCAGTCTCATTCCTCCCGAGTCCACATCCTTTCCCGTCGGATATCGTATTCATATCCAATAGTAATATACTCGGAAGCTAGAGAAAGATTAATCACTACAATGATACTTTTTTCTATTTTTTCAAGCATCACTTTAGTTTCTGCCATTATGGTTATACATGCTAGAAACCCACTTTATTCCGTTTTTTTTTTTCTTTTTTTTTAATTTTCTTTTTTTTAAACTAAAAACTTCAGGCCCCTTCTATTCTGGGCGGCATCAGTCCAGTTGTTTATCACCGGCAAGCATGTTGTACACCAATGTAATGGAGAGAAAAGATAAGAAGAGGGGGCCATCCCAGCCCTTGCGGCACTAGACACCTAAACAAGGGGGGTCTGCTACAGAGCACCCATTCCCCAACCTTGATCCTTCCTAGGGGGCTGTTCTGCTGGTCGGGAGGCTTACGAGCAGCACCCAGACACGCACACCGGAGGGGGGGTGTACTGAGCGCCCTTCAGGCCGCATGCCAGTCCTTCATCATTTCCCACCATGCCTAAATCATCTCCACCCCATATCTACCTCCATGTCCATGTCCTTTCCTAGTGCAGCAGTCTGCTATTTCTAGAATGTCATTTCCCTTCCACTAGTCCATCCTACTATACCATCTCCCACTGTGTAGTATATCCATACCAAAAGTCGCCCCGACCCCGACTAACCAGGCTATAACAATTGGATGTTCCTCATTATATCTATTGAATGTATATCCCCAGCAATATACATTCAGTAGATATAATGAGGAACATCCATTTGTTATAGCCTGGTTAGTCGGGGTAGGGGTGACTTTTGGCATGGATATACTACACAGTGGGAGATGGTATAGTAGTTCCGTTTTATTTCTTCTTCTTTTTTTTTCTTTATTTTGTACCATTTCTCGATTTATGCATGTCATCCTTGCACAGGGGCCATGCAAATCTTCTCTGTATCGTTCCAATTTTAAAAGATGTCCCGAAGGGCTATTCCGTTTTATTTCTCATTTTACTATTTTAGAATGTTTCCATATCCATATTCCTTCCAGTTCAGGCAGCCTCTCTCCGTCCAAGTCAACATCCTTGTGCATTCGATCATCATGTCCATTCCTCTTCAGTCAGTCTCCTTTCTCCAAGTCCACTTCATTCCCTTCCGCCTGATTACTGCCCAACGGGATTGCTTTCTACTTCTTTCCATCGGCATGAAGAATCCATCTGCCAGCCTGTGACTCCCCTGCACTGGGCCCAAATTTCTGGCTTGAAAATTTTCAGACTCGCGAGGCTTTTTCACTTTTAGGGTTCCCACAATTCTAATTCAATTATTTAGAATGTGGCATGAAAACTGGCAAATTTACCCCCCCACACACACACAGGAAGGAAACAAAAAAAGGAATGAAGAAGAGAAAGTAACCGCCCTCCATTTGTGTCATAAGCACAGACTTCGTTCTCCTTCTGGCAAGGAAATGGCATGGGAACTTGGGCCAACGCTAGGTACCGAGGTATTGAGAAGGGAAAAGGAACGACTGCTCCTACAGGATAGAAGAGAACCTACCATCATACTCTCAGTAGTACTTTTTGAACTGATCTAGACTGTAATTGAAGTTATATACATCCCGCAAAGTCCTAGTGTAAGTATAGCCTTAGTTGAGAAAAAGATGAACAGCACAAAGAACACATCATACGTATCAAGTTGGCGTAAGGGCAGTCTCACCAACATGCCGAAGCCATGGTTGTTTGGGGTCGTTCCAGGTCTCTGATGTAAGTGCACCCAAAACCAGATGAACAAACTCCACTGCATCCACTCGTGTAGCACCTGCACGTTTGCCGCAATTACGCATAGTGATGAAGTGATAGACAAAGTTATCCGTGCCAATCACTGTTTACACCCCCAACCCCCCCCTGGGTGACCCATCACCAAAATGGAAGGTAAAGCCGGACCCTGGCGCGAAGTCAGTGTTTTTTTTGGGGGGGATCCTTGCCTCTTTTTTTACCTGTCTGGTTTTGCCCAGCTGGCCCAGGCGTGCCTGGCCGGGCGACAACCCAGCATAGTTTTTATGTCAATGCTGTGCATTACGTATCTTTTTTTGCAGATTATTTTAGATTTTTCTTTTCAGGAGTGGGAATTTCCCAAAATCGTCAAATTGATATGTATTTTTTCAATTTATCTGGACAGGCCATCTGGATGGCATGCTCGAGAGTTGAAACATAAATTTGCTCGTCTATTTAACAGCAGTTCAATGTGTTTTCACAACTTTTCAGGGTTTCAGCAATTTGACTCAAAAATCCCGTTAGGGAACTATTTTCACAGTGTTCAGTGTGACACAGCAGCCTGAGAATGAAGTTCAGTGAATCATCACGTGTACACCACACTGGAACAAGATAAGATTGCAGAGCACAGATTGTTGAAGTTCAAGGGGGGGGAAAAAAAGGTAGGAGGGTGGGTGTGTCTGTAAGGGGAAGGGGGGGGAAGGGGAAGGGGGGCGGGAACTCGCAAGAATGAAGCTGATGCAAGTGCACCACTTCATTAGTGTTGTACCTTTTGGATATAAATTATGCCAACACGCAGCTCAAGCAGAGAGGTGCACGTCTGCCCATAGCCAGCAGACCTGACCTATATATCGCTGTAGTTCTCCAGACCGATTTTCGGTTCTTATTTTCCTATTCATTTCTATAGCTAGGCCCTGGTCTGTAGTGCTTAGCCACAGTTTATTGTGTCCCTTCACCAGGCAGTAGTATCTAAGCTCCATAACTCTAGACCCTTAACCCTTAACGCTTATGGTTTAACCATAAACACTAAACACTCAACACTCAACCATGGTTGCCCCGGACCCGGACATCGAGACACTGGACACCGGGCCCGGACCCGTGTCTGGATTTATCGAGACGTCTGATAATCTGGACACCGATCCGGACAACCGGACATACAGACCCTGACGGTCCGGTTATGGATGAGCAAGTCCAGACGTCAGGTTAAAAAAAAAAAAAAAAAAAAAAAAGACACGCTGCTGCAGTTGTGTTATCTGACTTATCTTGAACACACACACACACACACACACACACACACACACACACACACACACACACACACACAGACGCACGCGCAGGACTGCACAAATCATCAAATAGATTTCAAAATTCAAATAGACAACATGAAATCTTCAACCCGCCAGCGGGCAGCAAATGCCTCCAACAACCAGTTCTCCTTGGCCCGCTGAAGTTCACCCAAGATTGCAAGTACAGGCCCTTAGGGCCGGTCCCGTTGGCTGCGCCAACAATTTTTGGGCGTCCACCAGGCACTGGAAAATCGCCTGGGGAACCCAAAAAACAATTTCGAATTTTCTCGGAACGGGGCCCAACCAAACCCCCAAAACCGGACGCCGGACCCGGACATCCAGACCGGACCGTCTGGATCCGGATCCCGACCCGGACGTCCGGTTAACAATCATGCACTGAACCCTAAACCCTTCACACCTAAACCCTAAATCCTGAACTCTTAATTCTACATCCTTTACCATTTGCCCGTTTTGTCATACACATCACCAGGTCTATCGTCTCTTCCCAGTTTGCCCATTTTTCGAGCTGTGTGCCTTCCTCTGTAGTGCTTAGCCATAGTTTATTGTGTCCCTTCACCAGGCAGTAGCACCTAAGCTCCATAACCCTAAACCCCAGACCCTTAACCCTTCTGGTTTAACCATAAGCCCTTAACACTTATGGTTTAACTATAAACCCTAAACCCTTAACACTAAACCCTACACCCTTAACACCTAAACCCTAAATCCTGAACTCTTAATTCCACATCCTTTACATAGTCCAACCCCGAACCTCGGCTCTGCTAGAGGCCTCGGATGAGATTTTATCCGTTAGAATAGCAGGCCTCAGAATGGAACTGGATTGCAACCATTTATTTTCTCCTTTTATTTTGCGTATACATTTCCTGTTAGACCAACAGTACCTCGGCCAGCCAAAAAAAAATGGGCGTGTCCGTTAACGCGGCACAACTTCCGGGGTTCGGGGAAGGCTTGGTATTGCATCGGAGGATGAAGCCATCAGGCCCAAGGAAAAGGGGCAAATGGAGTTCAGATTGTCCTCGTGCTGTATGGCGAGCATGCATTTCCACACGCAGGCGTGCAGTATAGGCCAGAGAAGAGAAAGAAAACAACAGGAAAAAAAAAAAAACAAAGATGTACCCACCAGTTGGCGGGCAAAAGAAACGGGACTGACTCCTCAACTGTTGCATACCGTATAGGTGCAGACCAGAACAAGAACCRACCTTTCAATACAAAGTATAAAATAGCACAGCGGAAGACTTAGATACCAATGATCCGAACAATCAATATTGCAATGCAGCCCCAAACATACATCATCATCATCATT